TCACTTTTTTTTGTTTGTTCCCTTTCAATTACATTAATGTCAAACAACTTCTTTTTTTTTACCTCAAAGCAGTTATATCATTGAATGATATTAATACAGTCAATCAGTGATTTCATACAACGTTATTTAATGCTTATAAACGAGGAATAGAATTCTGTAAACTTTAGAAAAATGTATAAACATGTTCTATAAGTACACTTATAACCATATCATATATGTTTTTTTCACACAAATAAATTACTAAAAACTAAATATTTGAATGTTTGACCTTAATATATATTGTTTATCATTATATAAAAAGATGAATAGTGACTAGCAGTTGAACCCAGGAAGTGTGTTTCGTCCTATTTGGGACTCGTCAACTGGATGTACCTGCACATCAGAGTTGATGTTCACTCTGGGACTCGAACAGTATGCATATATGCCGATAAGAGTCTGATCAATTGCAGTTGTAAACATCAATGGGAAGATTCAAATAAAACAATCCCAAGTGAATTTAATGTTTATCATGTTTGCAAACTTATTATAAAATCATATAATTACTATTATATAATTTCATTTCTATAGTTTGAAGTGCAATGACTTAATGTTACATAACAGATAGTGACAGTAATTAGTTAGTTGTTTCTTAATATAACATTAGGTTCATAATCGATTCGATAAAGTAATAAGAAGTCGAAGATTATCAGAACTATGTAGCATATCAGCAGAATACATTTCGAACCGTCTGATCACATATTATATACTTGTTAAGAACATTTGTATATAAAAATAAAAGGCCAGCTAGACTAGAAATAAATGGTAAGAGAAGACAAGGATAATAAACAAATGCTGGCTCAGTGGTCTAGTGATTAAGTGATCACGTAAGAAACTGATAGTTCCTGGGTTCGAATCTCGTGAGGTAGGATCGTGGATGCACACTGCTTAGGGGGCCTATATTAGGACTAAACGGCTACTCAGTGCTTTAAAGTTTTCCATGGTAATTAAGCTTCAATTGATTCATCATTTCAACTAATAAAAGTACTACAATAACCACAAAAACCCTTCTCTGATCATAAAGAAATAATTTTAAACCTCATCACTTTGGATAATAATCAATTCTTTTACTGTACATTTTAATTTTATTAATAGTTCACATTTTAGACAGTCAATGAGGAGTTAAGAAAAATAATCATCATGTTACTTTATTCAAATCATTGTTGTTTCACTATGAAAGATAATAGAAGTTAATATTGAAGTAATTTCATAAATCTGACTTATATGAAAAGGCTACTTGTTTCTCGATTACTTAACATCTACTTCTAAAATTTGAAGTAATATGAACAGTTAGTAGGAGACTGATCAATTTCAGTGATAAACATCAATGAGAAGATACAAGTAAACAACATCAATATGAATTTAAGCTTCACATTATTGCACTAGCAAGTGGATATCAGGACTCAGTAGCTAAGTGGTTAACGTAATGGCGTTTGACGTGAACGGTACTGGATTCGAGTCTCAGAGTGAATATCAATTCTGAGATGCAGGTACATAAAGCTAACGAGTTCGAAAAAGTAAAAAACGCCCATCCTTGATTCCACTGCTAGCTAATATCCGTCTTTGCTCACAATGCTTGTGAATTAAGGCAATATCGAGGCAGTGTCCACAGTATGCACATGTGCCAATAAAAGACTGATCAATTGCAAATCTAAAGATCATTAGGAAGATTCGAGTAAACAATGTCAAGTGAAGTTAGTAATCTTGTTTTATCAGAAACAAATTATATACTCCATTCATATATTCTTCTTGTATAGCCTATAGATTAGAATCCATCCAGTCAAAAAAGTGTACAAAACGTCTATAATAACCTATCTAGCATATATGCTATAACATAAACACGTTGTAAGAGCTAACCTTAATAAAAACTTATACTTTTGGAAGCATTGTCAATTCATTGCTACATAGCTTTTTTTATTTTATTAGAAATTTTTTTATCCTATTCTTTATAATTTTATTCATTTACTTTAATTATTCATGCATTGTGTATGTAATGTACACTACTCATTGAGATAGATATAAGTAGCATGTCGTAGGAATTGGAAATGGGATACTTACCAGAAGAAGATTGAAATGAAGAGAACAGGAAGGAAAGGAAAGAGAGAGAGAAATCAGATTAACAACGGGATCGAAAGGACGAAGGAGTGTGTAGAGGACAACCCAAGGAAGATATATAAATGATGTATTCAATATATGATTTTCATATTTTACAGAAACATTGTGTAATTTTGCATAAAACAAAAAAGTGGTTTTCCCCACCAACTCTGCGTTCATTATGTATAATGATATCTAAGAACATCAAGAGGATCTTGATAAAATATTCTGTGGTGATAGTTTTATATTGCACTAGAGATATAATACTGAATAAAGTCATTATTATTGTGTGCAAGAAACCTCCATAAAAGTTTGAAAGTTTACAGGTTTAATTTTTGGATTAACTTGTATTTATGCTAAGAATACAAGCCGATCTAAGTCAGGAAATCATTGAAATCCTGAAAAAATGGAACAGTCATTTCACCTTTGTATAAGACCCCTCAATAATGCTCACCCACGACTCCTCATGCTGTGATTGAGTCCAATACCTTCAGTCTTATGCGAAAACGTTTAATCTCTGAACCACTAAACCGCTAAGTAACGATATACAAGTCAAACTTCGACCAAACCACGATATTGCGCAACCATATTACTTCATATCGTATTCTTACAACCGTAAAAATAGCACAAGAACATTGACGTTTTTGGTTTTGTATCACGGATTGGTAACAAATGGAAATCTATGGACATTGAGTAGCTGTTTCGTCTTAGTATGGTGCTCTTCAGAAGCAACTGTCCACGATCCTATCAGGAACTAAATCTAGTATCATCAAGCCTCACTGCGATTAGTTGACCTTCAGGTCATTGAATTGACATCTAGTAGTTTGTACTTGTATCTTCAGTTAATTACTGATATTATGAAACCATTATCCATATCCTCTATGAGACAAATTTTATCTATGAGAATCGGTAATGGTCATGATTGAAGTAAAAAAAACCCAAACCACTGAATGTCAACACACAGATCTGGACGGTAATCACTCGTTCACCAGGTGAAACGTTGAAACAGATTTTTAGTACATCTTGCTTTTAAACGATTATCTAATTAAAGTTTATCTGTTATATTAAACTACAAAATTTAACAATTCCTACAATGTATATACATATATAGTGTACGTTATTATTTATTTAGACATAATCAAACCTACTGTACTATGTAACAAAATCGATTATCGTTATGTAAAACCCTCTTGAAAATTAATATAAACAAAAGTGGCTAACATGGAATCGTTTAATAAATTTATTTATTTATTTAACTAGAAGTCGCATATTAAGATGAAATGGTCATCTAGTACATTCGAGTTTTCCATAGTTGTCTAGCTTATGATCGACTCATGAATTCACCTATGAAAATATTGTAATCAATCCTTATTCTCAATAAAAGAAATTCTTTTCATAGAATAAGAACATTATCGAGAAATAAAACGTTGAGACTATAATTTATGGATAAACCAATCATGTATAAGATAACAGGTTTTGGATTTTGGCGCGAAATTCACTCATTCATTCTAATAAATAGAGTTTTGGTATTATAGCTTATGTCAGTTCATAGATCTAATTCGTAACATTAATCATTAACTGTAAATCATAATTCTAATTCCTCACACAGATTTATAACCTTTATTTGGTTCTGGTTATTAGATGGACCCATCATCCAGAAGATACAGGTGTTTATTAACATTACGCAAAATACTTCGGATCCGTTGGCCGGACACTATTAGCAACAACCTACTGTACGAAAGAACAAACCAGATCTCAGCAGATGAAGAAATTAGGAAGAAGCACTGGAAGTGGATAGGACACACATTGAGGAAAGCATCCAACTGAGTCACAAGGCAAGCCCTCACATGGAATCATCAAGGCCAAAGGAGGAGAAGAGGAAGATCAACGAACACATTACGCCGGGAAATGGAGACAGACATGACAAAAATGAACAAGAATTGGATGGAATTAGAAAAGAAGGCCCAGGACAGAGTGGGTTGTAGAATGCTGGTCTGCGGCCTATGCTTCATTAGGAGTAACAGGCGTTAGTAAGTAAGTAAGTATTAGATGGACACTCTCAAGATCAGTCTAGCGTCACTCAAAGGTCGTCCATAAATTATAGTCGTATCATAAAAAACTTGTTAGGAAGAAGTGAATTCACTTTATTTCATGTACTTTAAGTCTTTAAATAGTTTATTAAGGGTAATTATTTTTCTTAATGTAGCTTCCTACATATGAATTAGTAGTAGAATAAAATGAAATGGTTTAATGGAATGATTTATCTCCTGATTAACTTATTGTTCTATCCATTACTTATTATTACAGTCTAATCAACACTTGAAATATTTAAAGGTACTTTTTAGCATGGAATGATGTCAAAAGCCATGGATTTGATGTGAATAATAAGTATAGAATGTTGTTATCATTATAGTTAAAATCACATGATATATGCTACCCTATTAACTTGAGGACTTAACGATTCTACGTTTGACTCTATATAGTCATAGGTTGTCTGTGGACACTCATAATAAGTCCCTATTCAGGTTCCCCTTTTAAATGTTATTCAATATTACATCATCTATTTGTATTAAATTTTACGGGATTTAATACCAATTCAGTGATATAAAAGTTACACGATGACCATCAATTCTGAAAATCTTTAGTTGGACTTCTCATGGGGTCGTAGTTGTACGCCATTGAAAAGACTAATAATAGGGCACAACATCTATTCTGCCCATTCATATTTGCAGCGGCTACATAACCGAAATCAGTGATTGGTGTAGACGTTTAATACAACAATCATTACCTTATAAATTAGTTTTTTTAATATTCTATTTCTGCATAATATCACAAATGTTGTTTGTTATTAAATAATGTAAACAACTTACATCTTTGGGAAAACATTTTTGATCACATAGCTTAAGTACTGAGCAAATATCTTTTATTTTTTCACAATATATTCCTTCATAACCAGGTTGACATACACATTCACCAGTTGATTTACAAGTTGCACCATTTAGGCAGTATTCAGGACACTTCATTTCACGTTTAAACTGTTTTTTACACGTTCGACCATCAGATTGTAATTCATAATCCGGATCACAAAAACATTGATATGATCCTAATGTATTGATGCAATGATGTTCACAAAAATGTTTTTGACCATTTTCATTCAAGCATTCGTTTACATCGTTTTGACAGTTTGTTCCGTAAAATCCTTCTAAGCAAGTACATAAAGTTTGATCTGTGTCATTTGAAAACACAGTTCGACAGCTTCCATATATACAGTCTATACCATCTTTACATATACGCTGACATCGTCTAGGATTATTTGGACTTGGTTCAAAACCTTCATTACATTTACATATATACTTCCCATCACCTAAATCCTCACAAATTTGGTCACATGGTTTAATTGCACATGAATCTACTGTTTGCTTACAATTCAATCCAAAATGTCCAAACTTGCATTCACAGTAACATTCACCATCTATTAAACTGCACTGAGAAGGACAAGAAATAGGTTCACATTTTGATGAATTTACAGTGGATATTTTGTAGCCTGAATGACAAGAACACTTAAAAGACCCAGGAGTATTGATACATTCTTGTTGACAATTATGTTTTCCTTCGGCGCATTCATCTACATCTGTCTCACAAGATAACCCTCGAAAACCTGGATTACACAGGCATTTTCCATTAGATGTACACTCACCTTGTCCATGAACACATTCAGGACTACATTTATTTGGAAGACAGTGACCTTTGTGATCTTGGTGATACCCTTTATCACACGTACAATAATATGACCCATACGTATTAACGCAGCCTTGAACACAAGGCTTAGGTTTCAACTCGCATTCATTTATGTCTTCAGAACAGTCAAGACCTGTAAATCCACGACGACATAAACATTTTCCAGTGGCATCACACTTTCCCTTATTAGACATGCATCTCTCTGAACATTTAGATTTACAATTCAAACCATCACCGCTTTGTGATTCATACCCCTCATAGCATTCACAGCTAAAAGAGCCGTATGTATTAATACATCTTTGAGAGCAGTTATGAGCCCCTGTCTTACACTCATCTATATCTTCACTGCAATCTGGTCCGGTAAACCCCGGTCGGCAGGTGCATATTCCATCATCAGAACAAAATCCTTGATTAATAGTACATCTAGGATTGCACGTGACTTGATGGCAAGATTTTCTATCAGTTAAGTTAAGTTTGTACCCTGAGTGACACTCACATAGGTAGGATCCAGGAGTATTAATGCATACTTGTTCACAGTTATGTGTTCCTAATTTACATTCATCAATGTCTAAATTGCACCACTCTCCTGTATAACCTGGTAAACAGTGACATTTGCCTGTCGTGTCACATTTTCCATTTCCTAAGTGGCATTTTGTCAAACACTCTGATGGTTTACATCTTTTTGGGTTGTCTTGTACAACGACATAACCGTTTTCGCACTCGCAAAGAAACGAGCCATAAGTATTAACACATCTTTGTTCACATCCACTCCTACCACTTAGACATTCGTCAACATCATACTCACAGTTAGGTCCTGTTAAACCTGATGGACAATTATCTTCCAATTCACATGATTGTCCCTTAAAACCAGGGTAACAAAAGCACTTCCCAGCTTTAGGATCACAACGACCTCTTCCATTACATCCTAAAGGGCATTTGAATATATCTAGATCGACCGAAACACAAGATGAATCGTTGTTTTGTAGTGCCCAGGGGTTGCATACGCATAATACATCTGAAGGTTTAGAACCGTTTTTAACACAGCCAAAACTGCATTGCAGATTTAACATTTGCTTACAAGCTGTTGAATTCATTACATTACACTGTACACCATAGTTTGCTTGTGTACATGATGGATCGTTCTGATAACATGGTGTAGAGCCTAAACATGGAGGATTTTGTGTACAAGTTGATCGACCATTTGAATAATAATCACATTGAGCAGGAATACAAAATGGTGGTATGCATTCATCGAATTGTCTTGCACTTTGTGACCATAAATAAGTAGATATTTCAGCTCCTTGTTGTGTACTAAATGAATTTGGTGCATAACCCCAATATTGTTCTTTCTCATTCCAAACACGATCGTTAGGATGGGATAAAGTCATAATACTTTCAAAATAATTTTCAGGCTTTGTATTACCATATTCATTCGAACTATCTGATGAATAAATGCTTACATAATCATTTACTTCACGATCTGATAATGTATGATTTTTTCTCCTATAATCAATATTTCTATTAGGATAATTATTAGATAGAAAATTTTTCTTCCACCATTCTTGTGAATATTTTCTTATTGAAGGATTAACATATTCTATATTTCTTGAATATGGTACCCAATGTCTTTGAAATCGATATGTATTAGATTGTTTTAAATGAGAATTTTGATAAATAGGTGAACGTGTTTGTTCATTATTCATGTGTCCATTATAAGATGGTAATCTATTTCGTTGATGACGTTGATTATTATAATAATAATTTCTTTTTATAAAATGATTATCTTTATTAGTTTCTTGATTATATGGATTAACATGTTCATTCCAATTAGAATTTAATTTATTACAATTAATGAATGATAAATGTAAATGTATAATGAATAATATTGAAAATATTGTATAATAAGAATAAAATAATTTTATATCAAATTTCATATCTATTAAATTCATTTTGTTTAAAATAATTGAAATGAAATAGTTTTGTATTTTTATTTTATGGATACATATTATCTATTGATGAATATTTAATGAATAATTTAGCCGCCAAAAAAATTTTTTTTAAAATACAAACTTTAAATTAACCAATCAAATGCATCCTTGCAATTGACCAATCATATTTCAAGGATCAGAAATACATAGAAAAATACATTTTTTGTTTTATAGATTCCTTGAACTTTTAATCATAAATGCACATGATTGTGAATCAAAGATGTATGTAAACCTAAAATAAAACAGAATAAAAAATTTAGGTGAGACTATAATGTATGGACAATTTTTGAACGATGTTAAAGTGACCTTGAGAGGGTCTACATAGTTAATAAGGCTAAATGAAGGTTAGAAAGCAATTTGAAGAATAAAGATGATGATTTACAGTTGATGTTAAGATTGAGGATTTAGATTTATGGTTTTCATCATGAACGGACATCAGCTAAAATCTTAAGACGCTATTTGGACGAATGGATGAGTGAATTTCGCGCCAAAATCTGAGACCTGTTATCTTATACGTGATTGGTTTATCCATAAATTATAGTCTTACCAATATTTAGATAAATAAATTAATCTATAGACTGTTTTTATTTAATAAGTTTGTAAATAGATCATTTTGTGTGATAGATAATTAACTACTGACAATCAGATTTAAATAGTCTAATAAATTATATTCACTGATAGTGTTATTATAAATTATAGTTGAAACGTTTGAATGACCAACCTGTTATAACTTGTGGGCCTTGTGCCCTATTAATGATATCACCAATTAGAGAACAATGAATTACCAACCGGACCAATGGCGCATAAAACCCGTACGAGCATTCTAGGGTCTTTATCGGTTCTATCTTCCTTCCTAGACCTGCCTGTTAAGTTTAGAACACCAATCTCAGCCTATGCGATATCAATCACGTGTTTCAAACATACTGGGTTTACATACAAACGTAAAAAGACTACATCGTACCATAAAATAGAAAATAACATTTGTGCAAGATCTAGCCAAATGTGTCTGTGAATGCAGGAGATTGTAATTAATTGACTGGGCATAACTTATGAACGGTAAATCGTATAATAATAGTCGATCGGTCAAAATAAAGCTTATAATGAGAAAAACATCAGTATACATATCTTAGTTACTTTACGACTATACAATAAAAATAAATGTATAGTATTAGTCCAGAAATAGATCCCAACAGTTACCACTCATTATTCTCGTCGGGATAATCTTACTTATTATAGACTCATAAAACATATAGGACACTATCAGCAGGACAGCAAATTTTATATATGACCTGTTGATATCCGATGATGTTCAAAGGTGGTTGAATATCTAATAAACTTAAGAATTGAAATACTAACCACTTTTCCATTCGTTATGATAGCCATTATTACAATAACGAAGTGTCACTATTAAATAAACTTCAGTATAGAATACTTTCTCGGATTCTAACGAGACTATTAGGAAATACATAAAACTGACAAATCAAACAAGAGATTTGCACAGAAATTATGTCACCAGATAAAAAAAAATCACCGTAAACAAAATGGTTTTTAAGCTTTACATAATGAAGTATTCCGGGTGATAATAATGTCTTAAAACACAGTCAACGGTAAGATCCGATACTGAAACAACTGGGTAAGAGAATAGAGATTTGTAAAATGAGTTCGATCAGTTATTAAAATTAAGCTGAGCATTGTTGTTATTCCTGCGTCGCTTAGTACTTATAATTAACAATGAGGAACTATGACAAGTAAGTGTATCAAGACTGATACAATTGAACACATATTAACCCCTAGGCACAGAGAGGACTCTAGTCAAAAGTACACTTATTTTTATATTGATTTTTACACAAAATTGATTATTAATTAATAAAATAATCGTTTTGAATTCATCTGTTTGTTGATTATTTTGAAATATTTTGCAACTTCGACATTATGCCCACTGCTGAGCAAGTGACTAGCATTTACACTGTTGAAAATCTTCCATCCGTTAAATCTCAACTATTGTCGAATGTGTTCGAAAATGCAGACATAAATCGTACTTTATATTATTCCGATATATATGTTTCGGCATGCACATTTAAACTGGTAAACACAATTGGAGGTATGACAAAGCGAGTATTTGTCCACGTCTGATTGTCGCAATGAGCATTTGTTTTTGTAACCGAGACACCAAGTTGGCTGCTTGATATGTTCTTTTTAGTACTCCCTTTAGTCTGAAACCAGTCGAATCAGCTTTTTCATTGTCTTTGAAGCCAAGTTTTAAGGAGACAGACTTTTCCCCAACCACGAGACCGGTTATCTAGAAAAATTCATTAGTAAATACGGGATGATGTGAGTAAATGTGATCAAATGTCCTACAGTCAATCAAAGTAGATGAAATGATCTTTGAGCGAAACTAATACACAATTTGATAATGATTAAAGTGGATGATTTTCAATAGTTCTTGACGATGGCCTTTTATTTTCTACAGTTTACGGATTTTAAACATGTTATGACATTATTTTATGTTAAATGTTCTGAATGTGATCAAATCTGATGCATCATGTTGGTGTGTAGAACAATCGCAAATTTCCCAACTAGTGATAATAAACCTTATGATTATGATCTTAATATGACTGGTGATGCTAATAATCATATGCTTTCTTTATTAACCGCTTCTGACAATGTATTTCTCGTTCAGAAACAATTATACATAATAAATGCTTCGTTTCATGATTTCGTTGTTGAAGTATCAAATCTATCATTTCAGTTAGAAACTTAAAATCACCAGAACCTTCTGCTGGAATATAACGTGTTAATATCCCTACATTTATCATTACTGGTCACAAACTGCCTATTCGCGGATATTTCAATATCCTGATTAGAGTATAAAAACCTTCACTAATGAATTGTGTAATTCTGGTAACTAAGAGTGAACCACCTTTATTCAAATTACAAAATCTACAGATGCTTCGAGTACAACTTTCATTATTGACTACCGCAGACTATCTACATTAATCGTCTGAAAATTTTATTACTGTTATGACAGGCTGTGCCCGAGATCTGATACTGATACACAAAGAACTACGCGCGGCCTCTCCAAAGTGATTACTTGAGTGAGAAGACAAGAAAGGAAGAGAAAGTCTGTTGAGTTACCAAGCTATATACACATATACTTATTTATATATACATGTTTCTACCCGATTGTTTGGTCAATGAAACGGATTTATCCCACGAGTCATTTCTGGTTGTTGTCGGGTGACCCGTCTAGCCATTTCCGATTGGCGCAATATATCAAATACCACAAATTCAATGTGCTAAGAGTTGTTCACATGTTCAAAAAATTCCTATTGTTATTCTCAAACATGAAACACTGCGCCGATAAAAGCTGTAAGCGATTCCGTTCCAGGCGCAAGGCTTAGAAACCCAAGATGAATGGATGAATTCTCGCAACACAAAAAAGCCTTATCGTCTGATTCAAAGAGACGATGACAAAATCAACCTTAATAAACCTCTTCTTGCGAATATGGTTTGTGCACATTACCACTATACCTAATAGATACATTTCCAAGAATGAGGTGAGTCGATTCCGATTTCTGTTGTTAATTAGTACAACCAAGTGAGCTAGGTTAAATGTATAGTTCCTATCGTTTATTACAGATCAAGACTGCTGTTTTCAACTTAAATGTATTAAGTTCTGTTTAGTTGATGCAATATTTTGTTCTATCTGGAAAATAATTTTAAGTCTTTACTCTTATTGGGTACAATGGTTTTTCTGTTTACTGCACTTATTTTACTGCAGTTCACGGTTTTCTGTTTGTATAACATTTTATTTAGGTTTTATTCTTTATCTGTTTGTGCTTTTTGCCGAAGTTATCAGAAACCCTCTGATTGATGACTTGAAAGTGTAGAAAAGGCGTTTGTCATCTCCCACGTTGTAGACATCCGTTCAACAGTGGTATGCAGTGCTGTAAGTCAGAAGAATGGTATCACGAGGTATGCAGAAACCTATCATCTGCAGTTTTCAAAAGATTTAATAAATCTGGATGCGTGTGGTTGTGTGTGGTGTTTGAACGAACTAGTGATACTATTGTACTGGTTGATTGTACGATTTCGAATTCCAAATACAGTACATTCGTTTGTGCGTGTGTCTTCTTAATTCAATTGCGTTATTTCTTGGACTCTTAGTTCGAAACATTATACTGGCGTCGCGATGGAGCCTGCAATGGAAAAGTTGGATATTCATTCAACTTCGGAAGCATTTGAGGATTATTTGGAAAGGTTTGAAATCTGGAGCATGACTAAGAAAGATGTCAAAGGTGATAAAATCGTGGCACATTTCCTGACATTTATTGGGAGAGAAGCTTACAGCTTATTAAAAACTTTGGCATATCCAGAAAAACCTATCTCACTTCCTTATGCAACTCTTAAGGAGCTATTATTAAATCATGTAAAATGCACCAGTTTTGAATGCCGTGAAAGGGCGAAATTTCATAAGATGGTTCGTCAAAATGAGCAAAAAGTTCGAGAATTCATCCTTGAATTGCAGAAACTAGCTGCCAAGTGTAATTTTGGTGATCAACTTCATGTGCAACTGAGAGATCGATTAATTGGAGGAATTAACATACCGAGTTTGAAAGGAGAGCTGTTAGAAATGCCAAACTGTTCCTTTCAAGATGCTAGAACTGCGTGTATTAACTGCGAGGTAGTGAAAGAACTTGATATCCAGTCAATGAAGATTTCTAATACTTTGCTTAGTCGTCATGATGAACTACAATCTCAGGGTCAATCGAACTTGCGTTCATTTAACGGTGAATCCTATTCTCGTGTAAATATGAAAGGTGTTTCAACAAGGGATTACAAAGCAAATCACAAAGGTGAGACGATGTTTGGTAAATGTTTATCATGTGGAAAGTTTCATCCTCGTAATTCATGTGCATTTCGTAATGCTGAATGTTTATATGTGGTAAGATAGGACGCATTCAGTCAGTATGCAAAGCTACTGTCCATTTTGCTTCAAGTAGTACTAAATTTTGTCATTTAAATCTCAATAATTCGGATGTTTCTAGCGA